TCAATTTTATCTTATTATTCAGATTTACCATGTTATATTTCTCATTGTTAATTAGATATTTGTCCGTATTGTTTAAAAAAATTAAAATAAAAAAAGACTATAATGGCAGATAGGAAAAATAACAGTCGAGTTGCCGCGCCGGTTGAATTAACTACCTGCCAAATATACCTTCTTAGGGACGAAAGTACACGCATCCCTGTCTTACTTCGTATATTTGTTATTCGTTATTAGTATTAAGTAAAATTATATTATTATTTATTAAAAAATGGTCTTAACAATGGCGGTTCTAAAAAAAAATATGAAATAACATTTAACCATTTTTTGTATCCATTGCATTTTTTTTTATAAATATATCCATTTAAAAGTATTCTTATTTTTTCGTATATATAATAATAGTTTTAAAATTTAAACATAAAAACATTGAGAAAATTAAAAAGTATGGAAAAAATTTACTAATTAGTTCATGTGCGTGTACATTTTGTTTTTGTAAAGCCAGTCGGCCGAATGGGCTTGGGAACAATGACCTCGCTACACCCCTGGCCAGAAATTAAGTTAATTTGTTGTGTGTGAATTTTATTCACAATTGTATTTTGTTTAGTTAACTGCTTGTTGCACCGGTGAGGCAATTTTAGTTTAAGTACTAATGCTAACCGAAAAAGAAACTTTTTTAAATTATTAAAGTTTTCAAATTTTCAACATTATACACACTGCACACATTACACATTCGACACTACAGTAACTCTTTGGTATTACTAGGCAACCCCATTCATCCCTTTTGAGCTACTATATACACCATTACATTTCCTTTGCTTTGCAGCGTAATCGTTAAAGCTGATAGAATTAAATTCCGATAGTAAATATACAGTATTACAGTGGATATAAAAATAATATAATATATTTTATTTATTTTGTAATATATTTCAAGATTATCCTATTATACAAAGAAGTATTTTATTAGTGTAAAAAGCTCATTCAACTTAAACTCTATAAAATTGATTTACTTTTTTTAATGTAATGTAAAATGGCTTAAATTTATACTAGAAGCGTTATTTATACCACTGAAATACCAGGAATTAGTTATAGTTTTAGTTAATATATGTTTATAGAGAGGGGCAGAAGATTAAAAATATAACGTACGTACAAGATACGAAATATCTAATAATAGTATACAGAACGTGCACAAAAAGACCCAAAAATTGTTGGTGTTTATTTGAATAAAAGTTATATATTATTGTTAGTTAGCGCGTAATTTTTTTTTTAAATTTCTATACGTTAATTTTTGGTTTGAAATTGAGCCCCCGAAAATATTTTTTTTTAGTAATTGAGTTTTAAATATTCGGTTGTCAATAGGTGTTTGGTACACTCTGTATATTATACCATCTTCATAACCAAAACAAAAAATAAAAGCCACCACCGGCACCAGAGCATACGGACAGACGGAAGGGCGAGGAGTGGCTACGGGTGTTCGCAAATTGTTTTGACTAGAACAATAATAAATCTCCAAAAATTCCTCGGTGACCGATGCGAATTTTATACCTACATGTATTAGGATTTAATACCAAATCGTACACCATTAGACTTGTTTTATTAAATTATTTTAGTAATAAATATTTTTATACATTATTTTTAACTATTATTTCAGATTATTAAAATTAAAGTCTATTTTCTTAATAAATTTAGAATTCGTTAATCGTACAGTTTTTTAAAAAGTATAAATACTTATATTAATTTATATTTTATAATAAAAACTAATAGGAAAGCATCAGAACAAGGTTATCTTACTTTAAGAACAGCACAATTCATAATACAAGTTTATAATTACATATTCTTATAATAATATCATGTGATAGTCAATGTTACTAGCCTTAGTAATCGGTCAATTAATGTATGTAATCTGATATTAAAAAACAGTCATCACCTGTTGTATAGGCAGCGTAAGAGCCAACATAGCTTATATTATACTATAATAAAACATACCCAGTATAAAATGATTTATCAGTTTGTTCAACCCACTATAATATGTTTTAATTAATAAACATTTTATTCATATGCCCAATTATTTGTGTTATGTCGAGTAAAATATTTATCAAATTTTTATTTTTCAATTTACGCATTTTAGCAACACAATTAATTTTGTATTGTCGGTTTGCTTAACATAATAAATACACACGTATTATTTGTACGTATAATTTTATCGTCTAAGCTATTCATATTGCAATCTAAACAAATTAGTAGTAGGTATATTACTATAAAGTGTAGGTATGTAATATTAATTAACGTGTTAAATGTTTTATCAAGTGTATAAATAATGTGTCAGTTTATTAAAAATTCTTGATAGTAATAAAAAAATATATATGACCAAATGATACCAAATGATGATTGTATTAAATCAAACGCGATTTGTTTTTAAATGATTGCATTTTCTTATCAAGTGTAGTAAAATATGTCTGGTTTGTGATAGATTAAGTCAAAATAAGTATTAATAAGTAAACATTTTGAAATATAATCATAATTTGTTTGTTTTAGCTGTTATTATAAATTTTCAACTTTATATATATTTTGTTTAAAATTAAAAAAGGGAATTATCTAAGGGGTTAATTCGATCATCCTTTAAAGTTTCGGACAACACACATGACTCTTTAAATTTGATGTTTCCGTCTTAAAACGATTTCAGCGCCACTGCATTTCAACGTGTATTCTTTTTTCAATAGAGAATTGAAATATAATAGCCGTCGTTTAATTGTTATTAACTTTTCGGTCCACAGTCTTTGTGGTTCTGCGAAGACAACAGATGAGACATACTGGAAATTCGAATTTGTGCCCAGCCCGCACGCTATGCTTTAATAGTTGTTATTATTCACATAAGACTTGCCGTTTTTGTATACTCTTAAGTATTTTTTTTTCTTAATAAACAAAAAGTCTGGTGGAAGTTGCGAGCACGGGTTAATTTAGTTCTTCAGTTTATTTTAATTAAAAATCGTCTATAAAAAATACATCAGATTGTTTTTATATTGGTATACCTAAAGTATAAAACTAATTTTTCAGTTTTTGCGCTTAGATCGTTTGTCAGGTTCACTCTCAACACTGAGCGTGAAAACCCATTTAAATTGTACACAACTTGTTAATATAATATCATTGAGTATAGAAACTATCCATACTCAATGATTTTCGCCGTTTAACGACCAAAACGGTTTTCGGTTTGTATAGATGACAATCTATGGGTAATATAATATAATATTGTTAATAATAATGTGTAGTTAACATTCAATACCTTATGTGAGGTACATACTAATATTATATATTTATATAAAAGGTAAATTATCAACCCATTGTATCTGTGATCCACAGTGTGATACAATATTATTTAGTGTGATAATATATAATGAAACGTTGGCGAACTAGTCAAGACATCCAAGTGGGAGTAACCTCAAGCCATGTAAATAGTGTAAATATAATGTACCTCACTCAAGCTTCAATAATTTTTTAATATTAATGTTGACAAGTTTTTTTGTTTTGTTTCATTATTTACATGTATACATTTTGCGTTCTTTTACTTGTCACAACTAAGTAGACGACGGTGACGATGATGAGGTTGATAACATTTATCTTTAACTCATTTGGCACACTTAGTGCGAGTAGTTGTCAGGCTATTGATTAAATTTGATAAAGAGTGTTTTCATTTACACGAAATCTGCATACTATTATTTTACTCTACTGTATTACAAATTGGTTCGTTCGTTGTAAAAGTGGTGTAGCTCCAAAAAAGAAAAAAAAGTTTAAGTTAATTTATTGCATTAGTTTTGGTTTCATTTTCCAAGTCACTATAAATTTGTAGAACCTTTGGTTTGTAATAAACATTAAAAGTAGTTACAAGTATTAGTTCAGTGTTTTCAATTTTTTTTTTTTTTGCTATACATTAATTTTCAAAAAGCTCGTTGTTTCAAAATTCAATTACAAAGAGATAATTCAGTAAGGCAAGTAACAGGGAAGAGTGGAGAATTGCTACAAACCAATCTCAGGATTGAATACTAAAGAAGAAGAAGTTAAATGTAACCTAAAATCTTTGTAACCGCACAGGTATATGCTATTAACAATCGTCATTTAACTATAATAATAAATGTTTAAAAATTAATATGATCAAATCAGATGGATGATTACTATTTACTCTTTAATAATATGTCATGCTGGCAGCACAACTAGCACCATTAATAATCGTATATTGTATACACATATTGTTAGTGTTGGCATTACTGGGAGGCGGTCTTTTTAGGGGCGGCGTTTTGTCGGGCGACGTTTTGCGGTGTAACCTCTTATAGCCGTTTATCTATTACCGTGGTTTGAAGCATAGACCTATAAAGATATGGACTGCGCCTCTCACCATAAATCTTATTTAATTATTATTTATTATTGTGTTATGCGAAGTTGTAAAACATTTAAGGATATGTATTTCATTATTTTGTCGGGTATCCAATGCTTTCGTATGATGTATTGTTTTAAATAGATATGTATATAGTATATCGTTAATAAATACTTAAAAACCATTACAATTTCATTCAAATTTTATCAATGAACATTCTGTTTTACTTTTTATAAAACGTGTATGTTTTGAAAAATAGTTTTTCTTACAAACTCAATAGACAATTTATTGTATCACAGATCTGCATCTAAGTTTAAACAAATTCACTAGGTATTGTAAAATCACTACTTATTTGTTTCTTTTTCAAGTTACGACCAATATAATATAATTATATGCAGCTGGCAAATAAAAATGTAATGTCAGAGCAAAAGTACGTAACTCAGGAGAGTATGCACCAGACTCGTGATGAATTTGTCGCATAATTAAAGCAGTTTCTACATTAGGTAGACTCCTTTAAAAAAAAAAAAAAAAAAAAAATATATATATAAATTCTTTAGGGTATAATTTTACAAATAAACAAAAGTAAGAACTATACTGTAACCAAAAAAATTAATAGACATAACACAACAATTTTATTATTTTTATCACCAATAGTATATTTTTTATTTAAAAAATATAAACATATAAACACAAAGCCCCAACATCATTTTGATTTCACTAAAAAATTCAAAGAAGTTATGCTATTCATACATTATTAAAACGAGTAAATAAATATTATATTTAGAAAAATGTTCTTCATCGCTAAATAAAATTGTATTACGAGTGAAACTGTTAACAATACACAACGGTCCATTTGGTTTTGTTCCTCAATGAAACTGTTCATAGATATTTAAATATATCTATAAAAGCCATGGATATGACATCACATTTTACTGAAAAATAACAAATTAATACACACAGTCATTGCAATAATGATAAAAATGTTTGAGATAGAATCAGTTTTAATATCAATGGTTCTTATTAGAAATATTTTAGGTGGATAAAAATTGACAATTAAGACGTACAATGAAATTTTTAAAAATTATTTTGTGAAGAACATATAAAATATATAGTAGTTAACCATGTAGTGTAAAAAGATAAAGGAGGAGAATATTTTTTGTGATGAGCCATTAATATTACAGTAAAAGGATACGGATCAACGATACTTAAATTCATGATTGGATGTCAGGATTGCATAAAATCCAAGCCCTGTCTTTGGTAACAAATCCATAGAACATTGAACACTGAACGTAACCTTATCAACCAAGCCATTTAACACATACAGCAATAACTATAAAAATTAAATCAAATTAATTTTTTTATACAAAAAATACGTTTTTTTAACATGTATTTGACATTATTATAATATATTTACCTTGAGTAATGAAAAACAATTTTCATTAACTTTCTTTTCATCTTTTAGATGATCAGATGTCAGATTTTTTAATATCTTCTTCATCCACTAAAATAAAAAAAACATATTAGAAGTTGCTTTATTTTGAGATTTATAAAAAATTAAAAACAAAATATTTTCTAAATTACTTGGCATTTATAGTAAATTTCTTCCTTCTTCATCACCAAAGACTTCGACCATTTCAACATTGAATAATTTCTTACATGCTTCTATAATATATTGTTTGAAATTAAATAATAAGTAAATAAGATAAGATAAGAAAAGTAAAATTTAATTAACAAATTACTCTAAAAAAAATTACTTCCATAAAGGTACCTACTATCACATAACATTAACAAAATGTATATACAATAGTATATTTATAAAAAAAATACATAAATTTGGTAACAATTACAAGTATAAGGAAGAACATACCCAGTTTAAATACACTTGGCACAGCTTCTTTTTTTAACATTTTTTTACCAGTTAAGCTCAAGTTATCTGTTATAGTCAGATTCTATAAAATGACTACTGCATATTTTTGTATGCGTCGCCGGAGTAAAATCTGGTTGAAACATACGTATCGCATTTGCCCATTTTAAAAGCATTTCATGATTTCTAGGCCAGCTTTGAAACAAATTATATTATTATTAAAATCATTGATTATATATTATTAGTATATTACTATTAGTAATATACCTATGATCAATATTCAAATGTATAAAAATATAATATAAGTAAATAATGTCTCAACTTACCGATGCATGATGCAATCTTTATTTGATTTTGTTTTGCACGAACGAATGACACATTGAAAAACCATTATAAGAAATTAAACGAAATTCAATATTTTAATTACTAACAAGAATAATTAAAATATTTTAATATAAAAATTTCGTTATCGGGTATTATCATATTACTATTTCTCCCATGACCAACCTAACAACTCTCTGTCTCTTTTTAACGATGTCGATATTCGGACCTCTCTCTCTACTATCAGTCTATTTCTTTATAGGTCTATG